ACACCCCATATCACTGCAAAAAAAAAAAAAAGTAACCATGTCTTACTCTTACAAACAGCTTATCTGATTCCACAATATAAAAGACAGTCAAGTTATCAAAAAGCAGCTTCATGATCAGCATTAAACAATTAAACCTTAAGGGGTCGTTAGGTCACTGGTTAAGAAGTGAGTTATTCGTGTATTGAAACCAGCATAACCAATTCTATATTTGGTAGTATTTAGTTGCTATGCATAAAATTCAGCACATCAAGTATGGTGTTTGGTTTCTAGTTTACGACCCCGCATAACTAATACACCCTCCGTCCCAATTTATGCGACACACCCTCTGTTTTAGTTTGCCCCCAAAAGAATATCACCTTTCTATAACTAGAAGCAACTTAACTTTAAAATTACCCTTTTACACTTAATTAAGATGTATAGCCACACAAATGTAACAGTCTAAGGTTTGTTTTAGACCATAAATTTCAAAAGTCTTCCTTTCTTTCTTAAACTTTGTGCCTAGTCAAATGGTGCCATATAAATTGGAACGGAGGGAGTACATGTATAAGTTATGAGAGAATCTATGTATGAATAAGAAATACATGAATAAAATACATGAATAACTAAACCGTGCATAACTCCAACCAACAACCAAACGACCCCTGTAGAGTTACAACTGGATCACAGACTACACGTCTCTTTCCTACCATGCACAATCATTGAAAGAAATTAAATCGCCTCAAAATGCTCTAACTATTACTTGCATTTTCACCATATCACCTTCTTCCAATACTGTCTCATCACTAGACAGTGGAGAAAAATGGCAGACGGTATTGTTAACTGAAATGCAGGTCGGAAATGCCACGCCCCTCTCGATTTTCTTCTTCACGTTCTTGTATATATTCCCTGTTTGCCTGTACCAGGATTCACTCATAAACAGAAACTCGGAAATAGAAAATCTGGCTGAGAAGATATAAAAAAGAGAAATGCTCATACTCTTTGATAAAGGCATCTCCTTTTTCACAAAGATCAACTATCTTAGCTTTTGTCTTGCATTCAGACACCACTAGCTGCATAGCCTCTGCAGAATCAATAGCAAAATATTTTTTTTGAAACTGGTAACTGTATAAATCAATAGCAAAATATCAGAAAAATCTAATGATAAATTGACATAAATAGCCGCCCACCAAAATAATAGTTTGTATAATTTTTGTATATTATTAATGACTTAATGTAATATTATACATAACATATGTACATTTTTATACAAAATAGTGTATGTTTTTGTATATTCGGCTAGCAAATGTAACTATTTTTGGTTGACCGGCCAAATGTGTAACTTGCCCAAATTTATTACCAACTTTGTTTTATTTTATCATTACTAATTGGGTGTCAAACTGTTTATTTTCTTCTTCCTCTTTTGATAAAATACTATTTGTGGAACCAACCTATTCTTTTACTACCATCTTTTATATAGTTGAATATTTTTTAGCACAAAAGTTTGTAACATTAGCAGTGATTTTCAGTTATCAGATAACCCAAAAATAGAAATGCCATTTTCAGGGGACAATGTTCAATCCAAAAATCAAAAGGTGTATACAGAAAACATGAAAATATCCTATTTTTGACAAACAACAAAGCAAAAAATGGAAACATGTCTTTTATTACCATCTTTTACATAATTTGAATATTTTTTAGTACAAAGTTTGGCAACATTAACAGTGATTTTCAGTTATCAGATTACTTAAATAGAGAAACCCCATTTTCGAGGGGACAATTCTCAATCCAAAAACCAAAAAGGGTATAAAAAACATATAAATATTCTATCTTGGCAAGAAAATGACAAAAAAAGAATGAGATAAATAATATTAACTGTTGACAATTTCGGCAGCACTCTTATACTTAGTAAAAGGTTAAATGTGCTTAACCAAATAACGAGTCCATTACTCAAATGGTCACTCAACTATCCTAAATTATCTGCTAAAGTTACTTTTCTTTCGTTTGTAACAACAAAGTCACTAAACTATGCCTATAGGCTATAGCACTCAGAAGGTCACTCAACTAGATTTTCCAAATTTTTGATTGTGAAATACCTATTTTACCCTCTAAATTATCAATTTTTTTAACTTTTTAAATATTATAATTTGTTCTCTTCTTAATCTACATTGTGGGCTATAGAATAAATATATTTTATTTATAAAATAAAAAAATAGTTTTCAACTCATATAATGACAGAATAATAATATAATTGAGCATAACTTTCAAGAATATATAATGTATATTATAAAAATACCTTTATTTAAATAACTATTTTTATATTACATGCATGGAATATATATTTTACAACCTTTATTTTCTTTCATTCTCAATTGTGTAAATAAATTTTTGAATTTTTATTGCTAATATTAAAATTATTATTACGAACAAATTATTCTAATTAATTTTTCTTACTATGCTTATTATTTTGTTATTCCGGCATTATATATGCTTAAATGCTTTTTATTTTTTTAATTTATAAATAAAATTTATTTATTCTATAGGTAAGTCCATAATATAAATTAAAAAAAGAAAAATCATAATATTAAAAACGTTTTTAAAAAAAGAATATAAATGTTTATAATTTAGAGAGTAAAATAGGTATTTGGCAACCCAAAATTTGAAAAATCTAGTTGAGTGAACTTTTGAGTGCTATATGTATAGTTAAGACTTTGTTGTTACAAATGAAAGAAAAGTAACTTTAGCCGATAATTTGGGATAGGTGAGTGACCATTTGAGTAATGGACTCACCAAATATAACAAGGACATTATCAAAATCATCAATAATCAAGGGACCAAAAGTGCAATTATCCCTTTTAGCAGTGATTTTGATTTTTCAGTTATCAGATAACCCCAAAAGAGAAACACCATTAAAGGGCAATTTTCAATCCAAGAATCAAAAGGGGTGTCCAGAAAACATGTAAATATTCTATCTTTAACACAAAAAGGTACAAATTGATAAAAAATAATGAGATAAAGAATATTAACTGTTCTTTACTACCAACTTTTACATAATTTGAATACTTCTTAGTACAAAAGTTGGCAACATTAGCAGTGATTTTCAGTAATCAGACAGCCCAAATAGAGAAATCCCATTTTAAGGGTGAAAATTTTCAATCCAAGAATCAAAAGGGGTACATAAAAAACATGTAAATATTCTATCTTTAACACAAAAAAGGCAAAAAATGACAAAAAAGAATGAGATAAAGAAGAATATTAATTGTTGAGTGTTGACGATTTTAGCAGCACCCTTATACTTAGTAACATCAGCAGTGTTTTTCAATAACCCAAATAGAGAAACCCCATTTTTAGGGGAACAATTTTCAATCCAAGAATCAAAAAGGGTATACAAAAACATGTAAATATTCTATCTTTCACATACAAAAAGCAGAAAATGACAAAAAAAGAATGGGATAAAGAATACTTATGGTTGACGATTTCAGCAGCACAGGGGTGGATTTATAGGTTATTTAACAGGGTACGCGAACCCATGGTCTCTCCGTCAAATTAGGTATTTTATGTATGTATTTTCTAAAATTGGTTTAATATTATATGTTGACACTCATGCTGAATGGTGCACTTGATTAAATGTTGAGTTATTTACTCAAAGGAACACGTATCGATTCCCACTTAAGTAGTTGTTTTCTCCTTTCTTTAGCAGTGCACCCATATTCTAGAAATCCTAAATTCGCCACTGCAGCAGCACCCTTATACTTCTTAGCAAGTGTGCTTATACACACGGTATACAACATCATACGACATTATACAAACATTATACACTTATGATAAACAATACGTCCACCTTGTATAAAAGTGTATAATAGTGCATAAGAGGTGTTCAAGGAAAAATCAGGCTAAACCAGGTAATTAAGGAAACACAGGGGCTAAACCGGGTAAATATTCTTTCCTAGTAGACCCATAACATAATTTTCCCAAACCCCATTTTCGAGGGGAGAATTTTCAATCCAAAAGTCAAACGGGGTATACAGAAAACATGAAAATATCCTCTCTTTTTAACACTAAATAAAGCAAAAAATGACCAAAAAGAATGAGATAAAGAACAAAAGGGGTTGAAGAATATTAACTATGGAATCAAACTGTTCTTTTACTATGCATTTTACATAGTTTGATTATTTTTTAGTACAAAATTTTGTAACATTAGCAGTCATTTTCAGTTATCAGATAACGCAAATAGAGAAACCCCATTTTCAGGGAGGACATTTTCAATCGAAAAATCAATAGGGGTATACAGAAAACATGTAAAAATTCTATTTTTAACACAACATAAAGAAGAAATTAAATAACAAAAAAAGAATGAGATAAACAAGAATATTAACTGTTGAGGATTTCAGCAGAACTTTTATACCTGGTAACAACTTTTGGACTTGTCAGATCCAATTCCTTCTCTTCTCTCTCGTCGTCCGACATACTTAATCAAATTGGTGCTGAAAAAAGAAAGAAAAAAAAAAGAAATGAAAATTAAAAAAATGGGAATTAGAAAAGGGAAGAAAGAAACGTTAGAAACAGTGAAAAGGGTCATCGTAAATACATACAGTTTGGTTTCTTGCTGGGATGGAAATGGAGGCGAGAAGGGTTAAGGTAGCGTATTACTATTTACTAGCTTCCATAATAAACATAGCATTAATAATATTTAAAAACGCATGTTTGGCTATTGCGGGAAAAAATTACTCGATTAATAAAGTAAAATTTTATTAGATTAAGATTATATCAAAAGAGGTTTAACATAATATATTTTTCAACTCAAATAGAATATTTATTAGTTTCCGCGTAACAATGATCATCTCCCGTCCAAAAGCTTGTATAATTTAATTGGATTATATTTCTAAATTTTTATTTGCTTGAATATGGCAAAATAAAAGTTTACTATATTTATTTGAGCATCAATTTTGTAATGACTTATACAAAATCACAACGTGTTAGAAACCTATTACTCCTACTAGTGAAGACCGAAGCCCAACGTGAATAAAATTAGATTTTTTTATTATACATCGTGTTACCCTTCTCATTAGGGGCGTGCATTCGATTTATCGATTCGATTTTGATCCTTATCGATAATTACTTATCGATTATCGATTTGTACATATGCTTATTGTTATCGTTTCAATAAGGTTTCGATTTTTTCGATTTCGATTTATCGATTTTTGGGGCTTATCGATTCGGTTATCGATTACACCAATAAGAAAATTTGCGGGATTCCACGGAAAGTATATCGCTATAAACACGCCTAACTAATATGGACAAAAAGAAGCTAATATAAGAAAGATAGAAGGAATTGGCAATATGAAATGACACGAAAGAGGATCTGATGCATATAAAGGATTTTGACATGAAATGACAGGAAAGAGGATCTGATGCATATAAAGGATTACATACATAAACAATATCACTGGATATTAGTTAGATACAATTTGGAACAATTATCCACTCTTGTATATTGTATGATCACCAAATGATACACTTTTTACATCTATGGGAGCACAACTACGTGAAAGGTTCGTTAGGAATCAGTTCTGCAGCCATCGATACTTCTTTAGAAGTGCCAATTGATGTAGAATCTCTCCTAATTGCATCTGTCATTATTCTTGAAAGCCCAAAATTACATAATTTGACAGTGGAGTGCTTATTCCAAGTACTAACTGGTTTCAAACACTTCAGAGTAATTTAGTGAAGCAGAGAGGCCGGAATTTCAATACCACAACAAGTCAACCAGAACCAAAATAAATGCTTAATTAAAAGGGTGAGTTACCTCATATCCTTTTCAAAGAAGCAACTTGACAAAGACAAGCTCAAAAATTACTACAAACAAGTAGAAGCAAAGTCGAACAGAAGAAACAGCTCAAAAACAACTCTAATGAACAAAATCAGCTCCAAAGTTGCAATTTGTACCGCTCTATCGAGCAAGTATGCTTGAATTGAACCACAAGAAATAAAGGTACCCCTATGCAACTGATCGCATAGTTTCTACCACTTGATCAATTTTATCATTTTCAGCCATATGAAGTGAATGAAGAATTATTTTCAGCCATATAAAGTGAATGAAGAATGTAACTTACAGTCTTAAACGAGTTGAATGAAGCAAAGCAAGACGAAGTCAACACTCTTCGCAATTGAATCTCGTCTTAGAGCTGTCAAGTGAGCGCAACTGCAAGTAAAAATTTCAGGTTTTCAGCTTTGGTTTGTATCCACTTAGAAGAACATTAAGAATTAAAAAGGAATTTATATACTCCACTGTCAAATTTGGTTTGTATCCACTTAGAAGAACATTAAGAATTAAAAAGGAATTTATATACTCCACTGTCAAATTTGGTTTGTATCCACTTAGAAGAACATTAAGAACTAAAAGTTTCAGGCTTTCAAATTTGATCGAAACTAGTAGAAGTTGAAGTCGAGACAATTTATATACTCCACTGTCAAGGTCAATATTTCTGTCTCATAACTGAAGGGTATAATAGCAAAAGGTAGCCATGTGTGGAGACAACAACTTATCACATTACATATAGACAATAAACAGCAAGAAGGTATATTTGTACAAACAAAATCTTCCAAACCATCACTGCAATAATACTTCTCTATCCCAGTAGAGCAAAGTACATACAGACTCTCATCAGCATTATAATCATGTCAACCAAACTAACATTCACCTTAATCATCTTGTTTCTGAACATATCTTTATTCCCTACTGTCATTTCTGGTTTAAATCAAGAAGGGCTTTCTTTAATGTCATGGCTTTCCACTTTTAACTCTTCTTCTTCTCTTCACTTTAATGTCATGTCTCATTGTAGTTGGAGACATTGGAGATTTCTTACAAGTACAAGAACTGAAGACAATACTGGCAAAGTATAGTACTATATTCAATTGATGAATCATAAAACTAGTAATGACTAATAAGAAGGTAATATAATCAATTAGGGGTAGCGTGAACTGACTAGAATAAATCATTCTTAACCAAAAACAAAAACTAATTTCTACATGGTACCTGCCAAGAGCTTTCCGGAAACGACGATAATCAACGGCGACAGTGGCGAGTGGCGATAGAACAGAGCTAGATTTGTACTTTGTAAGCAGAAAGTGAAGACTGAAGAGTCACCTAGTTTTGGATCAACGCACAGTGAAGACTGAAGAGAAGCGGCGCTGAAGAAGGGAGGAAAAATAGGGTTAGCCGGTTAGGGACTCAAGTGAAGGGAAAGGGTAGTATTATAAAATAAGGGCATATTTGTCTTTTTAATATATCTTAGCGGTTTATCGATAAACCGATAATCGAAAAGGACAAAATCGAAATCGATAACTCAAAAAATCGAATCGATTATTTATTATCGGTTTATCGATAAACCGATTTGAATGCACACCCCTACTTTTCATACTGTGATGGGTATGGCTTGCTACTTTTCCAAATTCTTTGTTATTGTTTTTTGCAAGTACCAAAGTGAGATATAAAAAGTAATACAACTTTTAATAAAGGTATTGTGACAATATCAATTGAAACCATTTAAATTGAAATCACTAATTACGTATGCATGTATCCATTATCCAAGGCAAATCAACAAAGAGCAATCACCAAAATCGAGCTATGGGTTCTACGTGTAATTATAAAAATACTTTTAACTATTTTATTTCAAGTATCACTACATGAACTCCAAATAGTTTAGTTACTTTAACTATCTAACAACATTCTTTCTCCCTTTTTCCTCAAATTTTAGTAAAATTTTAGTAAGACAACGAAAACTTTTCGTCTAATAAATATGTATTATTAAAGTTTTCTATTTAGATTTAGGAAGCACTCCCTCCGATTCACAATAAGTGACCTAATTGTTTTTTCATTTTGGTTCAAAATAAGTGTCCAGTTATATAATCAAGACAAAATTCAATTTGTTTTTACGAAATAACTCATATGTACATATCCCTAAAAAGTTTTCTTACTCCCCACATTAAATGTTTAATTAGGGGTAGTTTAGTCATAGTATGTATTTTTGTATAGAATTTAGTATTTTCTTAATGGGCGTGATAAAAGCAAATTGACCACTTATTATTTAATCAAGATAGCTTAAGATTATCCAAATTAAAAAATGGGTTAGGGAATGATGGGCTGAAAAATTAATGGTCCCCCATCTTCTACGTCTACGGTTAATATGCAGACTCCTAACAGAGTTCTCATATTTTCCGAGTGAGGCAAGTATGCTCATATTTAATTAAAAAATGTGGCTGAAATGACTGAAAATATAATACTAATAATAGCCATGTAAAAGTAGGCAAGCATGTTCACATGAAAGAGTATTTTAGGGAATAAACGAAAATATCATAGTTTTTTGGTCAATTCACATTGACCGCAAGCTTCTCTATTCTCCCTTATTAAGCTTAGCACGAGCCCAACATGTTCGGTATTTTGCTATAATTCTTCAATTGTGCTGGTACCAATAAAAATAGTTTTACACATTGAAAATGAAAATAAGTAACCACAAGAAATAGAGTTACATATACAACATAGGCATAATAAGGTATTTTCAGTATGATATATGCAAAAGAAAACATAAAAACACTGTATGCTCTAGTGTTATTTCAATCAACCTTAATCAACAATGTCGTTGATTTGGCCTTGGTTGTAATACATGTAGATACAGTTGATCTCACAACAACATGTGAATCAACACATATGAAGACACATGGAAGAGGAGTGAGGGCTTCTGGTCCTAGTCTTTCATCTGAGTATTAGTGCAATGGATTGGACCAGCTGCACTTAGAAGGAAAAAGAGCAAGAATACAGAGACAATGTTTAAGTCTAAGTCATGGTGTCAAGGGAAGCAAGAGAGCATTCATTTGAATTAGAGCACTAAAACTAATTACCTTCCCGCTATAACGGATGGCAAACTATAACAATCATATACAAAACTGATGAGTATGTGTATTCATGCGTTATGCTGCTAAACTTGCCATTCTATTTTTGATGAAGAAAACTTGTTATTCTTCCCAGAGAAAACAAATGTATATGTGTTTGTTACCCTATTCATTTTTCTTGCAGTTTCTTACCTTTCAGGAAAACACTCCTAGCAATATCAGCTTAGCGACTAATACTTTAATGCTACCTCAGTAAACAAGTGACCAAGTGACCAAGAGCAGGTAAAGACTGAATTATAGTTAAAAGTGTACATTAAATTAGGAATATGCCAAGGGCAAATCTGACCAAAAAAAATAAATACCTCCTTGGTTTTGTGGAACATAAATTACTTTGGACCAATTATTTTGGACTAGAGAGAGTGTACTATGGGATACAGAGTAGTGGAGTAAGCTACTGATCACTTTTGCTCCGCACACAATTGCATGGTTTTAATATAAACTAGTCTTAGGTACGCGCGTTGCGTGTGAAACCTGTCTGAATGAATCTAATTTTTTTGAAATTGTACGTAAATATTATATGAAAAATTGTGTTTGACTAAGAAATAAAAGTTACAGAGAAAAAGTAAGCTCCTGAAAATCATAAACGTCGATCCTATTTAACTAACTCAACAAGAAAGAAATTTTACCCCATAAAAGGTCATCAATTATCTCGGTTAATAGATTCAATTTAAAATTTATCTCGGTTTAATAACTTAATTGTTTAAACTTTACAAATTAGCATGCTTGCTTTTTTGTTTTAGTTAGAACACATAACCTTTGAATATTTAAGAGCTTTTTTCGAAAAATTTTCTTAAAGAGTTATATGTTCGTATGTATTCTTAAGTCCATTCTTTAAGACACATGTCACCTAACTGCTTTTTTTTCTTTCTACTTGCGAACAAATGCAACTCGTTCTTGTTCTTTAACTAATACGAAATACTATATGAATTATTTTTTATATTTTAAATATTGTGTTTGTGGGTTGTCTTCAATATTAAAAAAATAATTAAATTATAATCATGTCTAGTATAAACTTAATTTTTAAATGGTAATAAAATAAACAATATTTTACTAAGGGGTTTTGTGCTTTAAATATTATATAATTCTTTGATAAGTTCTCCCTTAATATAGGAGTTATTGATGATCCATAAATTATTTTAACATATTTTTAGTAATCTATTACCGAAAAAAAAGAATCGAAGATGAAACAAAAAAGATAAAGAACTCAAAAATTAGGAAGAAAGAATAAAAATACATACTTACGTCTGCAGAAGGTATTTCATGGCTACAAATTTCTAGCTATACCAAGTCCTTTATTTTGTCAAACTTTTGCATCTTGCAATGTGAGGTAAACGAATTCTATACTAACGTGGATACCCCTTATTTACAATTAGAATTTTATTGATATAAAAGTTCTTAGTTGATATAAATTTCTAAATATTAGGGTTCTTTAAATAAGGAAATTTTTTAATAAGTAGAATAGATAAGGAAAGAAAATTTTAGTTGATTTCAAAGTTCTAAAATTTACTAAAATTATTTAATTGCGATTTCGTCCAATATAAGACTTATCTTTAAAGGGTAAAAAATGCGAACGACATTTTGCTAATGGCTTTCGTGGTTTTAATATAATATATATTAGAGGCAGAGTCCTTTTCTACACTGTTTTATTATCTTTAAATTCTACAATCATGAGGTCTTTTGGATGATGCTTTCGCTCATACAATAGTTTCAAATCCTTCGCTTTCTAAGTGGTTCTTCAAATTGTAGTATGGCCTTTGGTTGGGATACCACAATGCTACTGTGGTTGCCATTGCAGCTATTAGTGATTTTATCATGAATTGCTGTAAATATTATTCCATGCAGCTGTGATCTCACGCGTTGTTCTAGGACAATTCAAGTATATCTTAAGTATATGTGGTGCCACTGCCGCTATTGGTGGAATATCGGCTTACACATACCTTTAACATAAAAGAAAAGGCAAGTAACAATTTCCACAGCACAGTTTACCTCCTTCAAAACTCAGGAGTACAGAAGATGACAACACAAAAGAATCAATTTCTGGATGTAAGATGTTGTAACATATCAGCAGCTAACTTTGTCTTTGTTAATTTCATAAAAGGATCTTATTCATTAAACACACAAAGTTGGTGAAAATTAGTTCGCATGCACATTACCATTTTGTTGGAAAGAAAAATCAACACATCCAAGAAGGATCAAATACCACCATGAGTAATTTGGAGAGAGGAGAAAGGGGAATAGCTGATATGTGTTATCTTTATAGTGACAGAGGCGCAAATGTCAAGCGTTTCAAAATGTAATAGTATCATTCTTGTCAAAATTTGATATACAAGCTAGAAAGGCAATGGAAACAATTGAGATATTTCACCTGCTCCACTCATACTTCAAAAAACCTCCTCCAGTCTCGAGAAGATTAGGGAATTGAGGAAAGCTAACCGCTAACTATCAAAAAGCAAGAAACCCTATTTTAGCTCCAAAGGTTGAAAATTTTAAATTCCAATGTGATCTCACCGAGAGTGCCTAGTTTCTAGCCACATCTTATATACACTTGGAAGAGGACGGCTTTGATCTATCAGTGATGTCTATATAGCATACTTGAGTGATGCAAACAGAAAGCATAGTTATGGTCTTTATTCTTAAATGTTTTTTCTGTTCAACAATTTGTTGTTCCAATTAATATTTGCTTGAGGTTGTTGACGAGCACCAGATGTAGGAAGGTCAGATTCCACTGATCCGGTAACAGTTTGAGGTTGCTGGGCCAGGGGCTGAACATTTGATGGTACAGCTATTGTCTGAGATGGATTAATTCCAGGAAAAGAACTATTAGCAGAATGTGCTTGTGCAAAAGCAACTTGCTGGTCCTGAGGGAAGTTGTAAAAGTAATTAGCCTGCAGCATTGATAGATCACGTCCAGGTGCCGAGGTTCTGAAATGGGAATCTTCATTCTGCATGCACAAAAGATCAGGTGATATCTCCGTATCATAATATGCCACATTTAAATCAAACAAGGATACGAATTTGTAAAATAACAAATTTGAAACTGAAGCATGACGGTAAAAGTACAAGAATCATGAAGAGTTTGCTACTGAAGTAGGAAGAAATAGAAAGGAGATGGCACCGTTGCATACTAAAATTAGTTAGAAAAGGAAAAAAGAAACACAAACCTGCTTTTGCATGGAGTAGTTCTTTTCTTTCTGCTCAGATGCAGTGAGATCTTCGTTGCTAGCTGAACAAACCGGAGCTGGAGTTGCACTGTATGAGACACTTGAGGACCCATATGAGCTGTATCCAGTAGGAACGCCGAAGAGGTTCAGGTTTCCAGCAATAGCTGCTGGTTTGTATAGAGACGGAAGAGGTAGTTTGACACCAGCAGCAGTAACTGATGGTGACATATAAAAGTTGGCAGCAGAAGGCTGCTGAGGGAAGCCACTCGGGCCCAAAAACTGGTGAGCACTCTGTGGCATGTAAAGATGGGGAATATAAGGGTTATATGGGATATAATTAGGAGGAAATGGTTGCCGGACTAAAGGAAACAAGTGCGGAGGCACGGTGACAGAACTCTGCCCAAGGCCTATGGGTTGAGCCACAGATGAATTAGAGCAAGACATTGAAGGAGCTTGAGAATTCCCACCCTGCAGCAGCCAATGGATATATAAAAACTTAGTCAGACCAAAAATAGCAGACACAAAAAGAGAAGAGATAGAGTGGGTGGTGTGCAGAGGGAAGGAAGATAAGGATTTCACTACTTATTGAACATTCCAAAACTCCAAAGGAACTGTGGAAATGAACAGTTGACAAGCGCCAACAGGCACCAAATAGATGCATAAGTTATGTCAAATAGCTTTATTATCAAGCAGAGACAAACATTCTTCTACAAGTATCACAAGCATCTCCGGCAAAATAACTTCCCTAGCAAAAGTAGGGAAATTATTTTCCAAAACTTTCTTTCAATGTTCCCCAACCCCACCCTCACCCCCAAATCTACACCCGCAC